TGATGTGGATCACCCTGAGCTTGGCAGCGCCCCTAACTTCACTGTCACTGACTGCGCGCCCTTTTCCAGATGGTCCGGCGGACTCGCAAAGGTCGGCCTCGGGATGGTGCATCTGCTGGGTTGTCTTCCGATGGCGCGTAAACCAACCGGAGCAACAAATCTGACGCCAAACTGTGAGCAGCTATGGCCCTGATGACGCCCCGCAGTGCTGGTGCAGAGCTGCGTCCTTTCGCAGCGGCGCCAAGCACGGCTTTGGCATCTACCAGTACCACAAGCCGCTTGTGATGTTTCCGCCAATTTCGGCCAACCCATTTGAGCACCAACAGCAAACCGTGCGCTTCGAGCACGCCAGAATGGGCACCCCACTTGGCACGAGAGCTCACCACAGTCTTGAAGGAATGCTTGGGCATGTTGAGGCGGTGTGGAGTACCGAGGCGCGGTACCTCCGGCTCATCCCCGTCCTCTCGGTAGAGCCGAACAAAGTCGCCGCGCCTTTCCGCCAAACAACCTAAGCGATGTAATATGTCTTGGCTGCAAGGCGCAGCACACACCCCAAAACCAAATTCAGGAGCAGCATCGCACGCCAAAAGTTCTTCATGATACGGCCGGTCCAAGCTAACTGCCAGCAAAGGCAGGAGACCACATGCCACCGCCAGCTCTACCATCACAAGTTTCGGGAGCTCTTGTGGGATGTGCTGAGGCTGTCGCCGGGCAAACTCATAAATGTTGTCAAAAACCGAGAATGCCGGACGCTGGAGCAAGCAAAACCATTGAAGAACTCCCAGCAAGCCATTGGCGGCTTTTGGGGACGCCATGCCCCGATTCAGACGATCCAACAAGCTGCAGAAACAAGCTGCCAACTTTGCTGCAGCGGGCTCTGCCATATGAGGACGACTGGACAGATCACAACCTAGAGCTGTGACGTGCTCTGTGAGGGTGACATCTTTGCTTGTCTTTCGTGGAATGCAGGACTCTGCCATAGCAGCGTCGAATTGCTCCAGGGTGCGCTTGCCAAGGCTAAGATCCCTGTGGGCAAACACGGTGTCATCCGTCGCAACCCAGCAAAGTTCGGATTGGTCCTGCGGGGGAGGGCGATCTGCGCAAAGGATGTTGTCGCGACTCACTCCAGCGGTTGTTGCCACGGATAAGGTTACACTTTGGGCTACTGCCGAGGACCAACTGAAGCCCATAGGCCACACGGCATGCGCAGGGTGTAGCATCATATCCTCGGTGAGGCGCGATCCGCCCAAGTCATCCACAAAGGTGCAAAGTATGTCCAAAGTCCAACCACTGTTGACTTCCGACACCTTTACAGCAGGCTGGCCAAACCAAGGCTGTAGCTCAGAAGGCACTTGGAGCACATCAAAGAAGGTCTCAGCATCCCTCTTGGAATAGTATATGGGTTTTGTCGGGTCAGCGACAATGTCCAAGAAAGTGGATGGATCTGCTAAGCGCTCCGGCTTGGGCGGTCTAGCTGCAAGTTCAGAAAGTTGAGAGCCATTCCAAATCTTGCGTTGTCGCCCGGGTGCCGTTTTTCTGGCTGCAAAAACTGCTGCACTGGCAGCCACCTGCCGTCGCAACCGCAATTTGCCACACGCGAGCTCTCGCACCACCAGTCTCAAGTACTCCTTTGTAGATAAGGGGTCTAGCGGCGACCTTGCCAAGCAGGTTGCTTGCTCTGGGAAAATGGCACGGGGGTGCTGCACCGCCGTCTGCAGAAACTCCGGCATGTGAACACTGGGTTGCATGTCCCTGCCCTTTCAGGCAAGTCCACTGCATCGGACCGCAAAGGCTCATAAGCTGGCTCATTTCCTGCCTCAAACCGGCGGCAAAAAGAACCCATCCAATGTGAAAGCTCGAGCGGGTGGCCAGAAATTCGTGTAAGCATTCGCTCCACCCTCCTGGCAATATGGTTGCAAGCCTCTTGTTGCGCTGCTGTTGCTGGGCCTCTAGCCGCCCCTTTTAGACGGGAAATCTTGAAGTCACACCGCAAAAAGTTGAGGCTGACAATCCCAACATTCGCCAGGAGAAGGGCAGCATCAACAATCAAAGGTTCCACTTCAATACTGTCCGGCCATGATGTCAACAAGGGCAAAGGGAAGAGATTGCGGCATCTGGCCATTCGGCCGGCGATCGGGCCGGCACAGCCCAAGAATGCTTCGTGCAAAACACCCCGCATCCCCAGTAGCACAGAATCAACGGCTGAAGCTAAAACTGACCCAATCCGCTCGTTACTTTCTGCTGCTGGCTTGGCATCTTTCCCTGGTGCCGTCCTTGTAAGAAAGAGCATCTGGCGTGTTGCATCTCGCACTTGCTTGGCTGGAGATGGGTTTCTGCTCCGCTTGTGGATGCATCTGCGAATCTTTTCCCCTGGGCGGCATCCAGGTTGGAGACCCAAGCCAGGCGGAGGCAGAAGAGCTTCACAAGATGCATTCCCCCCCATGGGAAAATGTCCAGTAGGCAGCAACAAAGGGTGTGGCGCGGTAACCATTCGCCCGGCCCACATCGCTGCCCTCTCACAAGCCCCCACCCAGCGCTGGATAGATGGCTGAACCAAGTTGAACCCAAATGGGCTGACGGTCCACCATGTCTTCCCCCGGGTTTCAGCTGCGCATTTCTTCGGCCTGCCTACATGATGTGATCCAGGTATACATCATTAGTTGGCTCGTTCCCGCAAGAATAATGTATTCCATGTTTTAAAAAAACTACATTTCGACTACATCCGCAACACCCTTTTTGTTCGCTCTCCCCCACCAGCTCTGGGTTCACCCACCCTACCCACCGGTACCACCTCACACCACACACACCCTAACACCCACTTCGCTTGCCGATCAATCACTTCAGCCTAGCCTATCGGCTGGTCTTCGCCATAAACACGACACGTCTCCTCAATCAGGCACTGGTACAAACGTCACACGGTGTAGCAACCAGCTACAGTACCTTGAACGACCCACACACCGTGTGGAGTCCTGGCCGGGGAGTCGTTTCAGTGGAAATGGAAATAGCGGGTGATCCCGTCATGTGGGGAGAAAGCCCTGCGCTGACCAAGCACTTCCAATCTTGGCACCTGCTGGTGGATGGCCTGAAACTTACTGATAGGCTGCTAAATTGAATAAGAAGAACCCGCTGGGCCGTTTCGGATCTTCTTCCTTCTTGGTTTCAGGCCGAAAGTGTGATGCAAGCCACCCCGTTGCTGCAAGAAACCCTGGCCCATCTGAAGGTCTTCTGACCCTCACGACCCTTCGCGCTCTCACGAGAGAAGACATTGGAGGAAGCAACGCCCAGCCTCGCCACGGGCCTCGCCACTGGCCGCGTCACAAACAAACAAAGAAGCGAGCACTGATGCTTTTTAATTGCACTTCTCCTCCACATGTCTTTTTCGTCCAACCCATGTCATAAGTTGGAAGCAATCACCAGTGGACCACGCTTTTTGCCAAGATCTCATCCTACACTCCACCAGCCTTAACGATCCAGAAGCGCAAAGGATTCTTCAAAGCTTGCATTGACCGCCTTCTTCTCTTTCCAGTACTCCTCCAAAGGCCGCGGAGAAGCAAAGAAGGTGAGGAGGTCAGGAGGCCTGTGTCATTCTCATTCTCCGATATCTACGTGAATTTTGGACATTTTGGTTGGTCGCGGAGAGTGGCCCCCAAGAGACCAAGGACCAAGAGACAATCAGCTGCCCAGCCTCTCCAGGCCCCACCTCCCCCCACTCCAACGCCCAAAGCTCCAACGCCCAGAGCACGACCCACCCCCCCGTCCTCCGTCTGCCCCAGCTGCTCCACCAGCTGCGACGCCTCCGGCAGCAGCCGCGACAGCTCCAGGAAGAGCGGCCGCACGATAAAGCCGATGAAGCCCAGCCTCGCTCCACGCGCTGCTGCGCTGCGCACGGTCCGCGCGTTCCACCACCACAGGCCCTCCCTGCCATGTCAGTGGTCCGCAGGGTTTCCGAGGCTTCAGATCCACCGAGGCAGTGTCCACCTCCACGAAGCGCGTCCCTTTACAGTACCCCCAGCAGCATCGAGGGAAGGGAGTGGACCTGAACACGGGTGTTGAGCCCATTTCGGTGGCGAACAGCTCATCTCCTCCCCTCCGACGGTCGGATTTGAACGAACACCAGGTCCAAACCTGATTCCTGAAAGCTGAAGATGGAGTTGTGGCGTGCGCGCACACTGCGTGTGGGTGTTTGTGGGTGTATTTGGTTGGGGGGCGGTGCTATGATCAACTCAACGACAAGGGAGGTCAGTTGCTGACCTGTAGGGTCGACGCTTCCGCTTGCGATTCACGCTGGGTAGATGGGGATGGGGCCATGGCGTCCGATTCACGTCCTCCCACATGGACATGGGTGAACCGAATAGATAGCTCGATGAGACCTCAAAAGCCGAAAGAAAAAGAATCAAAAAACACGACGGAAGAAGTCCCATCGGATCTCCCCATCTTCCGGCCAACCTTCGCTTCCCCGCAGCGCCCGGCCACCACCCCACCCCCCCCGGAAAGGCAGACGTCCAAGGTGCTGGCCCTGGGGCACCGACTTCATGCCACTGGCGCGGTCGCAGAGGGGCGACACCTGCCGCACCCCGGCGACCGGAACGAGGCGGTCGTACCGGGATCCGTCGTCGTCCAACAGCGGAGCGCGGCGTATGGTGGATCCAACATCCCGCGTCCTGATGGGTCAACAGTCACACCACCATGTCACACCCCGCGATTCCTGGTGGAGATCATTGGATAAATTGGATGTCTATGAAGATCTTGTTGGTCTTCCACGTATAGTTCTGCTACATGAGACCAACACGCTGCAAACCCAAACAAAGGAGAATGCAAAGAACTTAGGCAGATCGTTTTTTTGACAAGAATACGGACCCTGTGATGTGTGGCACCGAACTCGTGTGGCCGTAACTGGCGATCTGTGATCCGCTGTGAATACCCCTCAAGTCCTAAGTCACAAAGGGGTGCTTAATGGAGGTTAAGGGTGCCCATTATCCACTCGCTTAGGGACTAAAGTCCTAAAGACCCGGAGATTCTCCCATCATTTCATGTCACAGCAGAGGCAGCAGAGGAGCCGCTTTTCGTAGTCAGAGGGAAAAGTCAACAAACCTCATCTGTGGCGCAATTCCTGGCGCCAACAAAGCCAAAAGCCCGATGAATCCACGATGTTGGAAGCTCTCCACCCCGAGCTCCTGATCTGGAATGGTTCTGTACGGTTTATTGGATCCCCTTTTTCTCTACCCGAAGACTTGTGGCAACACACCGGCCCTCCAAGGACGGGAGCCTCGAGGCCCAAGGACTTCTCCTGATCTCCTTGAGCCCAGAACTCCAGGAGCACTTGCCTCGCCGTGACCCGCGACTGAAGAGCTGTCGCTCTTGTTTGCAAAGAAGGGTCTTTCTCTGGTGCCCCTTCAACGTTGCATCTTGATCAGATCCTTCGAGGCGTGCCCAGACCGGATACAGTGGAGCATCAATGACTCAGGATGACTTCCACATCACCTCCCTTCAAACGAACGGGTTCACCGTTTGGCTCCAAACAGCAGAGGTCCTCCTGGAAGGTGGATGAAAGTACCTCACCGGTCCCTCCTTCAAGAAACCACGTCCAAACGACCAAAACTTCTCGCTTCAGCCTGGACCAGTAGAGGGCCACGGGCAACTTCCGCGTGGCATTGGAGACGTCCGCGGAATGCAAAAGCACATTGAAAGCATCTTGCTTCTGCTTGGGGTCGCTCAAACTCACGTGGCTCCCAGGTAAGCTCTTGGCCTCACGAACGGAAGCGGTAGGAATGGACATCATCGAAACAAAGTGTGTCACTAGATGCATCTACAAAAAAGGGACGGATGCAAAACTCACCAGTTCTGGAAGTGCCATTCATATGAGCCACCCGCAGGCAGGAAGAAATGCGACCATGCGGATCTACCTTACCATGCTTATCCATGCTTCATGTCAAAACGTAGGGCGTCAGTCATAAAGGAAGTTGCGCTTCCTAACAGCCAGACTTTCTCGGGTACCAGCTTGGCCATGTTCATCCGAGGCGTCTCAAGTCGTCGACATGCCTCCGGATTCTCATGCCTTCACAACACTTCACCAACAACCCTCCTCTCCCCTAAAGCAGGCTCTTGATAAATAAACCCACCCAATCTTTGAAAAACCTCATCCTATGGGGGCAATGGTAAATCAAGAGCCTACAGTAAATCCCTAACCTCCTACCAACCTCCAACCCCCGGCAGCACAAAGCTTCACCTTGCTCGGCTTCACTCGGCTCGGCTCAACCGCCCGCCTGAACGAGACCCTTCAGATTCTCCATCAGCACGTTGTGCTTCGTAGGATCCGTCACCAGCACCATCTCGATGATCGACCGCCTAAGGTGCGGCCGCAAATCCAGCGGAGCTCCGCCGGGCGTCTCCGGCGGGAAGGCGCCGTTCATGAGGCCGAGCCAGTTCAGGTCCTCGTTCTCCTGGCCGCGTTCCGCCTTCAAGTCGTTCAAGTGCCGGGGAGCAGGGCCAGGTGCTCCAGCGCGGTGATTTTTGCCGGCGGGGAACGGTTTAGCTGGTGAGGTTTTTGGGGGGAACCGGGCACCGACCCCGAAAAAAAAACACCTATGATACCGATACCTATAGTTATGTTTCCCAAAGATCGGGACGCCACCTCAAATCAAGAAAATGAACCATATGTACAGATTGTACAGCCTCTTGGGGGCTTGCCCGGCGTCGCAAAATCAAACGGTCCGGAGTCAGATCGGTTGGCTGGGGATCCGCACCGGCCAAAGGATGCGTTGAAACAAATCACTCAAGCAACTGAATCTCAGCCCTGTGACCAAACTGAGCATCAGATCTGGCACCTGCCTGGAGCTTAGGATAAATCAGTCTTGACTCAGTCCTCTCGGGATCCGGCCAGAAAGTCTCTCCCAAGTCTCTCAGCGCCGAACCCTTTTCCGACCCCGTCGAACCGGCCTTCATCAGCTCAAACGCCAGCGCGCAGTGCATGTTCTCCTGGTCACCGGAGCGAACGGACGACGCCCACGGCCACGGAGGCGCGCGGCCACGAAAGGAGGCCGAGTGCGGGCCGCCAAATGATATGAGCATCCTGAGGCTGTATATTATGCCGGCTCGAGGACTCAGCCCTTGGATGTGGGTGACAGCTCTCCTAGGTCGAGTCGAGTCACGTCTTTCTCTCGGAGCGTGGAGCCGAGGCACGGAGAACTTGCGCCGGATCACTCCCGGCTGAAGCTTGCGCCGGTGTAGCACAGTCGATTCTGGTGTTGCTGGGTGCCGGGTGCCGGTGCTGGTGCTGGTGCTGTGAGCTGGCTGTGCACGTGGTGGAGACAGGTTGCAAATGAGTGACCTCTAGTTTGGATCACCTGGGAGGATCACTCCTGGAAAGCGAACAGCGCATTGAAAAGCTTACAGGCATGGGCGATTGAGGGCAAACCAACCTGGGTCAGCTGCAACACATACGAATCCAGTCGGGTCAAGCGGGATGGTCGAGTTGGGTGTTTTCTGCCGTGGCCGTGGCATTTTGTTTGCAGCATACCTCTTCATGGGGCCTTCTTTTTCACCACGCCCTGCGCCGCGCCGCGCCGCCGCGCGTTCGCTTCCCACGCTTCCCACGCCCGCCCCGGAACCGTCCGGTCCAGTACGCTCTTGTCGTTGTAGCGGAGCGCCACCAGCGACTGCGCCTTGACGTGGAACATGTTGTTGACCCCGTCGTGGCCGGCGTCGTGGGACACGGCGGCCATGAGGCACATCAAGTGCTCGATAGGGGAGATCCAGGACATGTTGGAAGATAAGAGGAAGGAGTGCATCATCATCATGACGTCCGCCGCCTGCAAGAGTTGGGCGTCGCGTCGCAGTCACGGCACGCCGCCAGCGAAGAAGCGCTGTCTGCTGCGCGCGGCCCCCCATGCCACACGGTGACCGCCCCCCGGCCACAGGCACCCGGCACTTCAGAAGAGGTGCGTCGTGGTCGCAAGAAACAAAAACGAGGCAACAAAAATGCAAATTAGAAAGCCTTCTGGACTCCCAACCCCTACCCTCTCAATTCCATTCAATTCCAGCCATTTTTTCTGCACACTTCAATTTTCAGCCCCAGGCACATGCATGTTGTTGTGGTAGGGCACGTCAAGGTACGCCTGCTCGATCGCCGCCACGAACTTCAACAAGCGGTCCTGATGACACGAGGGTATGCTACACCTGCTCAGGTACCCTTTATTTGAGTAGTGCCTCCTTCTGCAGGGCCATGTGCCTCCTTTGGGGCCATGTGCTTCCTGGAGGCTTTTCCATGGTGTTCCCACCCTGGCGGCCACAAACAGCTCTGTTTTCTCTTCTGGCATAGATCAAAGATAATGAAGGACTTCTGGTGACCCTATTGTATGGTCCACCCGTCCACCAATGCGCGTTGGGACCTCAAGATCCTTCTCCAACTTCAGCCGACGAACGCCGTCCCCTCCACCCATCGAAGGCGCACGGAACGTCAGTCTGACATGCATCTCTTTCTTCCAAAACGACCTTTTCTCCTACCCAAAAACCGACTCAAGGAGGGGAAGACCCAAGGTCCATTTCCATCTGATGTGCCGGTCCATGTCTTCGTCCGGACGCCGAAAAGTCCAGACGCCCGCGACCCGCCCCACAGCGACTCGCTCCTGGAAGAGTTCGGCGTTCATGGGGTCGGCTAAGGTTTCCGCGGGGAGCTGGTCAAACACGCCGCCGTTGGTCAAGGTGTACATGAAGAGCACGGTGGTGACATTCCCGGCCACCTGAGCGTCATAGAAATCACACCAAATCACCTAACCTAACCTCCCCCCCACAAAAAAAATGAAAAAAAACACAGTGAAGGATATGTTTTTCTTGCCTTTGATCCTTTGCCTGCATCATTCCGGAGCTTGGGAATTCGAATCTTCCAGAACCAAAATTCCTCTAGCCGCGAAGGGGGATCATCAAAGACTTCGATCAGCGTCCTGCTGATTAGGCATCATGAAAGTAAAGATCGCCAGAACATTGCAACCATGCAGAATCCAGCACCCCCCTCCCCTTCTTCATCTTCTTCGCGCCTCCGGCTGGCCCTGCACGGCCACCACGTCGATGTCAGGAGTGCCCACCTTGTCCAGAACCTCCATGAGCTCTGGGCCAAAGGGCGCGCGGCTGGAGCGCAGCGTGGCGCCTGCACCGCGGATGGGACTGAGGTCCTCGCCCAGCCGCGCAGAGCTCTCGGTCCACTGCTTCGTGAGCCAATCCTGGAGGGCTCGGAGAGCTCCGGGAGGGTCGGAGGCTTGGAGAAGTGCGGGCACCGCGGAAGGCGGCTTGGTTCCGGCCCTGAGGATCCCAAACATTCAGGGATTGACCAACCGAGACCAGATGAGACTACTTGGCCTCAAAAACGAAGCACCGTCCGTCACCACACCGTCTCACTGGACCCCGGTCCTTCACCTCTTGGGGCATCAGCTCCTTGGAGGAACTCCGCGCACCTCGGCGACTGGAGGCATCGTCCAACAAGGCCTCCAAGCGTTGCGCCAGCTCCTGGCAGTCCTGCAGCGCCTCCCTCTTCCCCTGCGACACCTGCGACACCGGCAGGTTTGGGGCGTCGTCTGTGGCAGCGCTTGGAAGACTCGGCGGTTGTTCCATCAATCCAACTGGTCTGTCTTGAAAATTTGTGGATGAAACAAGTGTGAAGACATGGAATCAAAGCCCCAACCCACCCCCACCCGTGCGAGGTGTGTTGTGAGAGGTGCTCCCCTGCTACCCATCGACTAGTCGATCCCAGGTGATGAAAAGTTGGATCATCGGCGGCATGTTCGCATTCGCGCGGCCTCCTGGAGCTTGGACCGCATGATTCGGCAGAGGCGCTTCATCTGGGAGCGCTGGCCCACATGCAGCGGCAACGCCTTTCCAAATTTTGCGCACACCACCGCTTCGGTCAACGCTCCACGGAAATGAGTTGACTGAGTTCTCAATTGTCTGGCCCAGCGTTTGTCTGTCATAGACCCCTTGAAAAACATCATCAGCCTACCGTACTCTACCATCCAAAATGGACACCACTGCACCAGTCACAAGGGTCCGGCCTCCGCCTCATGAGTCTCAGAGTTCATTTGCCTCACATCGGTGGAGGACACCGTGTCTTGCCTTGAGACTGTCAAGCCCATCTTCGACGCCCGGCCATCAAGCGCGCAAAAAAAAGGGACCACAAAGTGCCGCTGTTGCCAAATGAGACACTCACAAGATCTGTGTTGACGATTCTTACGGAATTCTTCGCATGATGATGTCTTATGTTGGGTGTTGTCCGGCTCTGGGTGACGCGAATTTGCGACAACATGTGATGTTCTGGCACTGAACAACTGCAGGCGGCGGTTGTGGCGAATGTTATTTTCTGCCTTTCCATCAGGCCCGTCAAGATTCATAAAGTGGTGGTGGTGGTGGAACTAGTAGCAAAGGCAACAGCAGTACTTGCACTAGTACTAGTAGCGGCGAAACACTTGGAGAATTAGTCCTCTACGTTACAACCGCTGGACGCCCCACAATGGAGGTATATGAATTTGTGAAAGTTCAGGTGTGAGCAGTATGGCCCACGTGCACCTCCTTGCATAGGGAATCTATTTTTTTCCGCGTGAGTCCAGTCAGCCGGATTTGTTGTGACAGTTTTTTTGGGGTTCGCACGGGCATCGTCTGTGCGAGGTCCTGCCAGGCTTTGCTGGCCTATGGCCGCAAAGGGAGCCGGCTTGGCGCGGAGGCCCCGGCAAGCGCAAGGATCTCCCCGAGAGGGAGATTTGCGGAGCCGGTGGGGCACTGGGGCGCGCGCCAGTCGTCCCCAAGCAGCGTGGGGCCCAAGGCGCGCTGGACGGCGACGCTAAGGAGGCCCCACCAGCGGCGGCGCCACCCGGCAGCGGCGGCGGTGCGGACCGCGGGAGGCGCGGCGGGCGCGAAGGCGGACGACGGCGCACGAAGGTCAAGGACTCCGTGTTCCAGCGGCCGCCGACCTCGCAGGCGAGGACCAGGAGCTGCTGCGGACCGCCGGCAGCTAGCTCTGGATCACGGCGGCGCTTGCGCCGCTCGGCCAGGCGGAGCGCGACACCATCCGCCTCAGCGGCCCCAGGGACGGGGGGCACCGCCGCGCGTCAAGGCGGAGACGAGGGTGGCATCGCAGCACCACGTTTCCCCATGTGGCGAGGCGCCATGCACGACCAGGTCGAGTCGGCGGCGGTCATCGGGGGAAATGTGCGGGGTGTTGGTGCGCGCAAGCCACTGCTGCGGAACGACGCGGCCCTCGGCGCCCACAGCCTCACGGGCGACGCGCACCCACGCGTGCTCCAAGACATGTGCGCGGCGGGCGGGAGCGCCGCTGCGGGGGCAAGCTGCGCAGTGGTCGCCCAAGCGGTCCAGCGGCTGCCCACAGCCAATTTGATTTGTTTGTTCTTGGGGCGGCGCCTCTCTGCTCGGTTTTTTTCCGACGTGCAGACACGAAGTCTGTGCACCAAATCTTTTGAGTAAAAAGATATGTCAAGAACCAGGTATGAAAGTGGGTGGTATTCGGGTGAAACCTCTGCGTAGAAATGGTGAAAACACCTTCCGGCACGCGCCTGCTTGAAGATGGAGAAGTGGAAAAAATTTTCATAGTGAGCATTGTGGCCAACTTGTTTTGCACTGCGCATGTGTTGCAGCATACTGCAATCATGAGCAGCGCAGGAGAAAGTCAACCTACCATAGGTAGGTGACACATTCGGTGACGGCATTCGATGATGAAGCATTCGGTGTCAAATAGGATTACCATGTCTGCTCTGAGTTTGTTGGGTGATAAAAATTGTAGCGCTCTCCATTGTCAGGATCGTACTGGTCATTACGGCCCAACATACCAAAGGCAGCTTTGAAGGTTTCTTGACGCCAAGAAAGTCTAGGTTTTCCAGGTCTTCGGTATTCAGAACGGGGAGTGAAGGAGTTATAATCGAACAACACTTGGCTCACAGGATCTAAAGGTGAGGATCTTAGAATATGACCAAGTAGTTTAACTTTACGTTTTTTCCAATTGTGGGGGAAAAACTCGGTACCAGAGTCGTGGGTGTGATGAAGTGTGTCCGTCCAGAACACTTTGATTGGGTTGCTGAACAATCAGATGTCTTGCGTCGTGAGCTGAATCCTTACAAGTCCGTAAAGTATCTTGCTTTGTGGGGTGGCATTGAAACCCCGTAGTTTCCAGCCTACCGTGGTGTTGGCTTTATCCCAGAAGAGTTTGAGTTTATGGCAAGACTTAATGGCAGCTGCCAATGCGACTATTTATTTCGCGGTGATTGTCTACTGCGTCCGACAACATAGTCCCGAGGTATGTAGCTTCTTGTTTCCGGGGAGGGGTACCATCAACATATCGGATGCTGGATTGTTTCTGATAGAGAGTGAGGTATATACATTTGTCTCTATTGAATTGCATGTTGTAGTATTTGGACTCTCGTTGGATGGCATGAAACAAATTATTTATTGAATGCGTGCGTGTACCAAATAGAAGCGTGTCATGAGCATAGAGTACCTCAGCAAGTTTGAGGCCTTTATGAGGTTCTTGTTGTTTAGGAGTATTAAGGGTTGACTTGACGTCTTGGAACAGAGCAGACATCAAAATAGTAAATAAGTAAGGCGAAAGCGGACAACCTTGTCGTATACCAGAATTTTGCGTCCGGCAGCTCGAAAAAGAGTTCTTGCTCGATGAGTTTTTTCGCGAACTTACGGGTTCGTCGGGGCTAAGCATGTTATTTAGCGTTAAGGGTAAAACAATGTTGAAAAACAAACGTTAAGGTGTTTTCAATACCACAATAATCAGATTCATATTTTTTTCACACCTGGACCTAGCCTCACACACCCTGGACCTAGCCTCACACACTAACCTCTCCATATCGTTACATTATAAGATATCCAACTGTCCAAGAAAACAGAGGAAAACAACTCTGGGTTTGGTGTTTTTCGAGATTGCATTCAAGCACGGCTAGGGCAGAACAGTGCCAAAAATATCCAAAAGTATGAACCAATGCACTTTTTCGCTCTCACCCCCGAGCACACTGTAGTTTCTCAAGTCTTTCGAAAAAATTGTGTCCAGTCAGTCAGCCACAGTGGCGTTTTGCCGCTGGTTGCATGAACTGAGACATCCGTTTACACTGACTGGTGTCTTTCTGGATCTTGTAGATGACATCGATGAGCTCTTGCTTGTTGCTTCGTGAATGCTGCTTGCAAACTTCTGCGTCCCCAATCTTTTTCAGCAGCTCCTTCAAACCACCTTTGCCCTGAATGGTCATTTTGGCTAGTGCACCTTTTGCTTCATCTTCACTCATACCACCAATGGAGGACTGCCCTACCTCTCCCGCATTTGCCTGGACAAGATGACCAGACTGATTGGCACCAGAAGCTGTGCCACTGTCACCATTTGCTGCCGGGTGACCACCCTCAGCATCTGGGGTCGGCTCTGCTGGCTTTGTCTGGACAGAGTGTCCAGCAGCTGCCGTGTGACCACCCTCGCCCTCAGCACCTGGGCTCGGCTCAGTTGGACCAGTCAGCGCTTCTTCATCCATGATTTTCTCAAGCTCCTCTTGCAATGGATCCTGTGCGGAGGGAGGCATGGAGACATCTCCTGTGGAAGAATCAGCCAACCCACTCTCCATTGCTGCCTCATTTGTGCCTTTTGGGCTCAATGGCAATTCAGGCGCCAACTCAGGTGCAGATTTGGCCGGCTCTTGAGGCTGTAGCTGTGCCTCTGGAACCTCTGCAGCAGCAGCCTCTTCGGTGTAGGGGATGCCATTGGTGATGATGCAATGTGGTGCTTTCTTTTTGAGAAAGCAGATCCAGTCGTCCATCTCTAACTCAGGATCTCCTGCATCATCTCCGAACTTTCTCTCAGCTTGGTCAGGACAATCCTCACATTGTTGCTGCCAGAATTCTGAAAAGAGTGGATGTTTGTGCACAGCAATGATTGCAGCCTTGAATCTTTCGTTGTCAAGACTTCTCACATGCTCTTGGGTGTGCCCAAAAGTCCATTCCATACATTCCATATTGCTGCCATCATTGTTGTTGTCCTCCTTCTTGTCCGCAAGTTCTTTTTTGACTTGGACCGGAGGTTCTGGAAGCTCTTCCGGCTCATAATCCTCTTCCATGCCAGGACAAACCAGCTTCTCCTTGGCAAGGATGTTCTTCAAGCCAAGAAGAATGGCTGATGAGGGGACTTGGTCCACAAATTGTTCAAAATCCTCCTTCCCATCTGCAGTGAAAAGCCGGATCGGAGCCTCACTCTGACTGGCACAAAACAGAATGGTGTGATGGTGTGACCGGTGACTGCCAGTGACCAGTGGCAATTCAAACAGCACAATACTATTATAGGGTGTCAATGACAATGTACAAAAAATGTTCAAACAGTTGAAGTTGAAGAGTCAGCATATGGAATAGAACCTTAAGCCCTGACAGCCCTAACAGTCAGTCCCCGGTTCTCACTTGCATGTGTGGTATGCCTTGCTGTGAACTGTGAACCTCATGATTAATCTCATTCCTGAGTCCTAAGTCATGAGATTGTCTGGGTACGGTCAATCGATGTTCATTGTTTGACCTGAACCTGCTGTCAAACTGTTTACAGACAAAAATGCCAGAAGCATTGGCATGGGCCATCATAAATTGTTGAAACAATGACAGCTGCTAGATGTCTAGCAGCCTTGACGGTCAATGAGTGGCCATTCACTGCACGCTCCAGGAAGAAAAATGAAGCTGGTAGATGTACAAAGTCTCCTGTCATGATCTGGTTCATCTGAAAGCTTGGGAGGGATCCAGGCGGCAAACTGGTTGGGGTTGCCTCCTTCATGGCGGTCAACACATCTGAGATCTCCTTGCTCTCCACATACTCACCAACCTCAGATGCTAAAGCTAGCTAGCTGACAACTGTAACTGACTCACCATCTGAGGTTTGCATGGTGACAGCCTAGCTATCAACAATGTTGGGACAGTTGCAGGTAGCCTCCCAAATACAATAAGAGGACATAACAGGACGTGATCTAGCAAACCGGTTAGATTGCTATCATGAATGTCATCTCCTGACTGATGATATCCTTGTGTGCTGTTGCGATCAGGTCACCTCAGTAGGCCTTGCAACAACAAGTAGGCGGCTTCCAAATACTTGAAACCTGAATGATGCCATACAGTGCTGCTCGATACCTGCATATACCATCCCCTGAGAAAGCCCCGCTTTCCGCAGCTTGA